TAATAGCGATAAATCAATCTTATGATTGGCCATTTGCGTGTCCAATCAGGACTCGTAACACCGGTCGCGCTTCTCTGATAATCTAGGACTCTACCTAAGGGGAATGAGAGCACTCTCCTCTTCTATCCGCTTATCGTTTCTTTCTACAAGAAGACTCCATCGGCTTGGTAACGAAATTAACCGAAGACGTCCGAACGGTCCAAAGATGCTAAAAAAGAGCATTTTGAAGTTTCTAGCGTCGCGTTTTCAGCGTTTTGTAATTTTTTAAAAAGTTTTGTGCCAATTTTTACAATGCCGACCTGTATAATTTCGGGCTGTGGTAATTGGACTGATCCGAAAAAGAAATGCGACGCGCAGATCGAATTGGAAGATATATTACATTCCGTATTTTAAGGTTAGCGAATATCTAGTCTTTCGGGAATCATTGGGTATACAGTGGTATACAGCGGAAACACCCGACGGGGTCCTATCCTAGAAAGAGACAGCACTACACACTACACCCCCCCTCCCTTTCCACGGATTAACCTCCCGAATTGCCTTGCGCTCCATCCATAGATTCTTAGATCCATGGCCGCGTTCCAATGTTCCATCTCTTCTACTGAACAATTGTCACTGGTCACTATTTAAATGTCAGTGTGAAGAGCTAGGGACGCGAAGTGAATTCACACTGATTACCGCTGCGTGCATGTACATACATACATATCGCATATATGTGCGAAAAGTGACGAATTTGGAGAACTGTAGGAGTGAGTTTCGATATACCGCGCTCCTGCGCGAAACATCATGGACGATAGACGAAATAATCGCGAGGTTATAACGGTATTGTTTCTATGTCTACTGTGGTATGCGGTATCCAGCAGCAGCAATGTCGTCGGCAAGATGTTGTTATCAGAATTTCCATATCCCCTCACGGTGACCATGGTCCAATTAACCTCAATCACCGTATACTCCGGTCCGTTCTTCAATCTATGGGGCGTGAGAAAATATTCATCCAACATAACGTGGAGCTATTATTTGCGGCTCATCGTACCCCTAGCCCTGGGCAAGTTTCTCGCAAACGTGTTTAGCCACGTCAGCATTTGGAAAGTACCCGTCTCTTATGCTCACACTGGTATGCATACGCAATACATATATTTGACAATTCTAACTAATATGTCGAATGAACATGCTCATAGCACATGTTTTCATCTACGTATAATACATGCACATCACATCGTATACTAGGTATATTGTCGTATTGATAGAAAAGTGTCACAAGTAAAAAATTAGCATTTGGTAATTATTTAGTTTAATTTTTACTAATTTTTTACTTATGTCACTTTTCTAACAAATGCAACAACATCATATGTCATACACGAACACATGAGTACTAAATTATGTGATATAATTTCATATAAAACTCTTTGATATTATACATTATTATACATTTGATATTATACATAGCTGCTTTTTTCTAAACAATATTTCAGATAAAACAGTGCTAGATTAACTTTTTTGTTTACTTTGTGAAATTGAGAAAGTATTTTATGTAATTATATTACACTATTTTATTTATTTCTACTTTTTATACGAGATAACTACTCTTTGCATTATAACAATTTATAATATGATATTTTTAAACATTTTCTAAACATTTATCTTAGCGTTGTGTTTTTACTCATAATCTCAGTAATTTATAAGCCATACTTAAATCTTTTAATTACATTGTATTTTTTTTACATTGAAGAAGACGAAAAGTATAACATACAAACTGAAACTAAAAAATTAAATGTAACCTTTGTTTTTCAAATACCAATATGTTTGCATCAAACAAAATTAAGAATATTTCAAGTATTAAATATTCATGGTATTTGATATTCGAATTTTATTATTTTATTTCTTGGTAAAATTTCAGGTTATATAAACAACAATTTGTAAATATAGTAGATTTTGAGTAACTGTATACTGTTGCTATATGTATACTGTTATATCACAATTTGAATAAACAGATGAATATTTATCAATACAGATATTTTAATTTTTTTACTAACAAATATAACTGGAATGAAACTCCATATAAATATTTAAAAAAATAAAGATTGATGATGTACCTATTTCTTAAAAATCAGGACAAAAATATACAAATCAGTATGTGTTGATAAGAGCAGATATTTGTGCATATATGTGCACAATATATTTATATTAAATAACAATATTAGTTCTATCTGTATTCAAATATTTTATTGCATAATTTATCCCTCATTTGTCAATGTTCTTCCAAAAATATGATTCCACAAAAAGGATCCTGCTCCCTCTTTTTTGCTTCTCTCTTTTTTATCCCTTTTCTTTTATTCTTGTTTTCCTTTTCCTTTATCTTTCTCTTTCCCTCCCTCTGCTTCTTTTCCTTTTCTTTTTCTCTCTCTTCCTCCTCTTTTTCATTTTTCTTCTTAGTCTCTTTCCATCCTTTTTCTTATTCTATATATCACTCTTATTTTAGTTTTAGTTATATATTAACTGAAGTTTGGCTCTGTCCCAGTGAAGGCTACAATGCCTCTTTTTACGGTGGCTCTGTCAAGAATAATACTTCGGGAGCAGCAAACGTGGAAGGTGTATCTGAGTCTTGTACCGATAGTTGGTGGTGTAGCTGTAGCGACACTGACAGAACTTAGTTTCAACATGATCGGCTTGATAAGCGCCTTAGCATCCACTATGGCGTTTTCCTTGCAAAATATTTATTCGAAAAAGGTAATGCAGTATAGATGAAAAAAAATTCTATTTCACATTTACCACAAGTATCTCATATTTCTGTTTTAATCTTGTAACTTTTGACTACAGGTGCTACATGATACAGGCGTACATCACTTGCGGCTACTGCACATACTTGGTCGTCTAGCTTTATTTATGTTTTTACCAATTTGGATTGTGTATGATTTACGTAGTTTGATGTATGAATCGATGTTAAAACCGTCCGTAGAAATAAGTTATTACGTATTAGGACTATTATTTCTAGATGGAATACTTAATTGGTTTCAGAATATTATCGCGTTTTCCGTATTATCCATCGTGACACCTTTAACATATGCAGTAGCGAGCGCTAGCAAACGTATATTTGTGATAGGAGTAACGTTACTCGTACTTGGCAATCCAGTTACATGGCTTAATATATTTGGTATGACTATGGCCATATTAGGGGTATTATGTTACAATAAGGCTAAGTATGATCAAAGAATAGAGAAGCAGAAGGAGACAATTCTTCCGAAATATTATAACGCGATTCAGAATGGTAATAGCAGTTCCTTTATGGTAAATGGATTTGCCAGCAGACATCAATCATTTGCAGTCTAGTCTCAATTAATAATTTTATTTTGACAAACTTATGTGAGTTTCTACATCGAGAAAAAATTGATTTTTTTTTATAGTAAACGTATTAATTTTCATAAATTACTATGCATTATAAATTATTATAATTGTTGGATATAATTGGTCAAATACAAAGTAGAAACTCATGATCAATTATTTCTGATATCATATATGTACATATATGCGTGCGCGTTTATATACATATGCATGCGCACTGTTTCCAAAAATATCAAAGTATTTAAATATTTAAATATTAAAAATTAAACATGTTTAAAAAATGTTTTAAATAAAAATCTTACATTTTAAAAAATGCAATATATAAGTATTTTAAGGTATATTTCTTTATGAGAAATAATATTTTTTAAATAAAATTAACATTTTTTATATAATTTGATCTCTTTCTTTTTACGTATCAGAGATAATTATTTAAGTATAATATTATAACATTTAATGAACTCAGATATAATAATTTATTTTATTCTAAATATCTTGTATATAAAATATTTATCTTGTAAAGTATATTTACACAAAAATACACGTAAAGTACACAAAATAAATTTAACTTTTATAAGCCTAACTGAGAGAAAGCAAGAGAGAGAAAGTTGAATTGTGTAAAAATATTAGTTTTATTTTTTTAAATCTATATTTTTTTCTATTAAAAAATGTACGTTGTAAAAACTTTGTGATTTTTATATACAGGGTGTTCATAAAGTATCGGACCCCCCCCCCTCTATCTCAGAAAATACTAACTGGATAAAAAAACTTTAAATACAAAACTTTTAGGAAATCCAGTTAGTATTTTCTGAGATA